AAAAGTGTTTTTTGAGGTTTTTTGGGCCTTGCAGGCTTTCTGAATAACGAGGATTTTGCGGCATCTCTGTTTCAGAATCCCGAGTATAAAAATTGATCTTTTTAGTCGGAGAGCATAGAAGTCGACTTGGACTTTCATTTGAAGCTGAACTCAAGTCTCTATGTTAGGAACTGTATGCACAACAGGCTCTGCAAAAGATTTTCCCTGTGAATAAAAGAATCAGTCGGCACTTTCGCTTTCCATTTTCCGAGCTTTTACAACACTTCTGAAAAAACTTTTTGCACTTAGTTTGTAGAAAATTGAATGCTGTATCCTATGGTATGATCGCTTTTTCTGAGAAAGGCTGTTTAGCGATCGAAAAAGTGGTTTTATTCGAAAAATTTCCGTTTTAAAAACGCTATTTTTTTCACTTGAATTTCGTTTGAATACTAAAAATTTTGAAAAAAATGTCATTTTGTTCACTTTTAGATGGGCTTATGTATAGGTTAATTTTTCACTCTTGACCGGTCTTTAGCAGGACCCTCGATGCTCTGGCGAAACGTTTCTTAAGTAGTCAGACTTCAAAGTGGTACTGGTGAACAAGGAATGTTAAAATGCGTAATGTAAAGGGGTTGTAAACCAAATAGATGTAAACGAGCGAATGTGTTATCATTCAGCAACATGCAGAATTAATCATTTGGATGCCTAAAGCTGCTCTCAGTTTTTATATGTATCGTCTCACTTTGTCTAGATAACTTAGTACGTTTCTGCTGTCTTGATAGATAAATATATATCTGGTGTTTAGCTGACATATAACTTTAACTATCAATTTTGATAATATCATTTAAATAATCAATTATTGATCGTTCAACTTAATCAAAACGACTTCAATGAAGTATGTTTCAGAGGTGGACGAAAATGAATACTTACTATGGTCAAAAAACTACGAAAAGGTAAATATAGAATACCACCGATGTACACATACAGTGATCGATGCACTATCTGATGACACAAACCGCAACTCAATTCCGTATTCCTATCAAAAGTTAGAAATTTTATTTCAAAAAGCCGACTTTTGTAATAACTTCCAAGGACATGTCCGATTTCCGAAGGAAATGGAAATTTGAAGTATAAAGTCTAGGTACGAGTTGAGACAGTATAGAACTCCATTTTGTTTACAACACCTTAAAAATACGTTTCCAACTATAGATATTCTTATTAGGTGCACGAAGTTCACCTGCAAGTTTTCACATTTTTGCTTCACAGAAGCAACGCTGACAAGCTTTTTTACATATTTTTGTCCACATCTTAAAATTCCATCACATGCTTTTAGAGTGCTTAAGGAACTAAAATATAAATTCCAGTATGTGATTTTTTGAAAAACCTTTAGAAAAAACCGTTTTTATCCAAAGTCTGGAACTCACCAACGGTCGTAGCCCTTTTGAAAAACTACTACAGCTTTCGACAGGAGCAATATTTTCTTAAACAAAAAATGTCATTGGAACACCACATCTTAGAATACTGGAACTCATACTCTCAAAAACTCAAAAAAAGATCTCCGATTGAGGAAAGGTCTGTAGTGGTTAGTTGAAACTCAACAAGATTATAAGACAAGATTTAAAACTGGCTGTATCCAGCAACGTTAATCAAAAGGACACTTTTAACAACGACCACACTAATATCCCCAAAAGAATATTCACATCAAAATCTCGACAGTGATTTTTTGTGGTTTCAGTGAATGATTGAAATTTTTTTGAGAATGACCGATGAAACAAGGAAGAATGGTTTAAACGAACTGATTGCAAACTGTTGAAAGCGAATGTCGGACATTATGTGTCGATGAGCAGTTTCTTTTCTACGACAAAAAATCAACAAATGGCTTCAGAAGTGTATGCCGGTGCAGGTTGCAGATCATCGTTGAGCGAACACGCTGTTTTGCTTGAAATTGAAGCTAATACTAGCACAGAAGGTGCTAAACCATTTGCTGATATTACTAAACGGAGTGCTTTTGAGGACGAGGAACAAGAGGTATTATTTTATACTTGGCAGTGTATTTAAAATTTTGGATATTTCAAGAAAACAAAGAAGGATAATTAAATTAGTTTTGTCGGAAGAAAAAGAGAGCGAACTGAAACCTGTATTTGAGTATATAGGAAAGGAAATTTCTGACGCTACAGACCTTTCCTCAATCGGAGATCTTTACATGGCAATGGGGAAAATTAACGAATCAGAAAGATATTACAAGCATGTCTTAGATTCCTTACAACAGAATGATCCTTGTGCTCCAGGTTGCTATAACAATCTTTGTCTAATTGCTTTCTTCGGAGAGGGTGATCATGATAAAGCTTATTCAAACTACACAAAAGCACTAGAGGTGGAAATGGAACTACCAGTTCCCAATAAGTCAAATATCGCCAGTTATTACTATAATCTAGGCACTGTTCATAGAGAAAAGATGCAGTATAACCAAGCGTTGGACAGCTATCTTAACTCGCTGGATTTAAGTGTAATACATTTTGGATATGGCTATATCAAAACAGAAGCATGTTATTACGCTCTTGGGAACGTCTACTTGGACTTACAAAACTACGATTTAGCTATCGAGAATTACAATCATTGTTTAGAAATTCAAAAGCGACGACATTAGAAATCCAGATAGCGATGAGACAGCCAACACATGTGAAAATTGGTACACTATTGGCTGGAGAATATAAAACAGGCTCTCATTAACTACGAAGAAGCATTAAAAATATATGATAAAGCTCAATTGGCAGAAAATCATCCGGACTTAATATTACTACATAAAAACATTGCACTTTTACACAAACGTAGGGGCGACAACGGGTTAGCTCTTAAGGAGTACAACAGGTTACTATCGATTCAGTTAAAATACTGTCCATATCATCCTGACACTGCTGATACTTACACCTCAATCGGTACTTTATACTTAAATGAAAATTACACAAAAGCCTTAACGAACTATGAAAAAGCCTTGGATATCCGTAATAGCTCACCACTTTCTAATCGTGTAGATATCTCAAAACACATAGACCAACCTAAGAAGGTTTTAGTACAGGTAAAAAATCCCTTACTAAATCTTTTAAAGGGTTTCGTATATTTGCATTTTCCCGAACCCTATTTAGGTTTTTTAAAATACTTATTTTTTTTAGAGAGTACACTACCAGACTTCCTTAGAAAAAATATTCATACTACCTCGGACGACATCATTTAGAAATCGTCACCCTCGGTAGAATCTTGGATCTGCCGCTGGGCTATGGTAATTAAAAAATCAAGTTTTTTATTTTTACCTTTCTGAACTATATGTAAAAAGACAATTTTTTTCTTTTCTTTTCTACACAGTGAGTGTCCACGTGATATCACGTGCTTGTTTTATGCAAGAATTATTCGATCTTTCAAATATCCACAGATCGGCACAAAGTAGCCGCCAAAATATATGCTTAAAATGTTTGTATATACTCAGAATTTTGAGCTTTATCCGAATCTCAACACTTCAGGAGGCAGAAACGCATGCTGGGGGAGATATACGCATTTAAGGAAATTTTGACAATAATTAAGATCCATTTTTTAACTTAACGATAAAATATTAGAGTTTTATTCAAAGTTCATTCAACCGAGCACACGAAACTCCCTATGCTCACACAATTCTGAGCTTTCGAATAATCTCCTTCATGATATTTTTGTTGTTTTAACGAATTTTAGCAAAAACTTACTTTTTCAGTTATTTTCAAGTAAAAAAAAGATCTCGGACCATTTTCTCCGATTTGAAAATTTGCACTGAAATAAAATTTATAACTTTAGAATGTTTTGTCTTTCTGAAAGAATTACTTTCTAGAAAAAAGACGATGAAATCGATCATTAAGTAAGTGTGATAGCTTAGTGCTCTGTCCAAGAACTGCTATTATACGCTTTATAGTTAACTGACTACTGTAAGACCTCTATTAGTGAACATCACTAATTCTAGCGGGCACATTTCTATTCAATATGCCGGGATGACTTGTTTTTAGGGATAGTTAATTAGCTTTTTTGCCATTAAATTCATCGCGCTTTCTTCTACGGGGAAATATAAAAACACCTGAGAGTTTATAAAGAAATTTATCAAGAATAACGGATGAAAATGTCGACGTTAAATTTCCGCGAATTAAGAAAATTCAATATCAATTTTTCGATCTGGTGATATGTGTCTGTATAAAAGTGATAAGTTACAAAAACTTGAATAAGTTGAATTAAGTGATAACTTCAGAAAAAGTACACAATAATTGAAAGAGAGAATTGAGAAGCGTAAATAAGATTGCCATGTACTTATTTTAAATTCAACCTTAAACTGAGTTTGAGATGAATTGCATCGTGTTTCCGAAGAGAAAATCGGGTAAAATAAGCTGAAGTTTGCATTCTGCATAGCCCAAGAAACGCTACTAAGAGAGTGAATTTTCTTTCCTCTCCAACACTTGTTTGTTTTGGAGATGTTGGACTACATAGTTTAGTAAAACAGTTTCTATTGTCTTAAATCTTGGTTTATAAGTTTGAAATCTTTTTAAACCCAAAATTGTCTGAAGTCCAGAGAAAAAGCTTTTCTTATATAGCTCCATGCGAGCTGTCGATTGATATTGAAATTAAAGTTTCAAAATGTTTAAGTCATTGAAAAATTAAATTTCACTTTTTTTGAAAGTCAAATATTTTCTGTAAAAGATAGTTTAACGCATATAAATAAAAGAAAACACTTATCATAATGACGTGTGACCTAGTGGTTATAAGGACAAACAGCAAATGATCACAGATTCCATCTCTATCTATATAAATAATTTTCAAAACATATTGTGCTATACCAGTGATATCTTGGAAACTAAATAACAGTAAAAGCAAAAAGTATCCAAACACATTTTATTTGTAGTACAATTCTTAATTAATAGAGGCTAATTATAGGCTAAATGCTATGTTATTCTTATAGCCTTCTGTGACGAGTTGCTATTACAAACATTTTATGTTCATCAGGTGGTGATCCACTATAACTTATCCTTGCAACACTTGTAGGTGCAATAGGACGCACTTGATGACATGGTCGTACTTTGGGAAGGTTTTTGGGAAGGTTTTTGGGAAATTTGATGTTGCATAGTCGGTTGAAAATTTTGTCCTATTTGATCATTATCTCCAGCACTATTGACGAGATATTGCTGTGTGTTTGATGAGTGTATTCTGCTCGCATTCGGTATTCTATCATTACGATCATATAGAATATTAGATTGTTGATCGGAGGAGGTTATTGTTGTTCCATCCTCATATATTTTTGAATAACCTATTTCCATCATGCGTCGAGCTTGTTCAATGTTATCATTTAAATAAATACGTACATCAGCTTCAGCAGCTAATGGATTGTCTTCTACGTTTTTACTATTACCTTGAATATCGCCGTATTGTACGTAAAGCAATCTCGTATTTAGTTCATGTCGTGTAAATTTAATATTAGATAATCTCCTCTTTGATTCATCATTACTTTTTGTATCACAATTATCGGTAACAATAAACAGATGATAATTTGAATATGGTACTTGCTCAAGTTTATCTAATATTTGATCAATAGCTTCATAAACACTAGTGCCAATCAAACGTTTACTACAACGAATATTTTCTACTTTATCAGCAAAATTACTGGCATCCACAGCATCACACACAGGAATAACTGGCGGTTCTAACAATTTGTCATCAAACGTATACATTAGAAGTTGATTTGAATCGTGTGTCGGGTTTTCGTGCTTTCGATCTCGAGCTGTTGACGATGCTATATTATGCAATAATTGTATAATGGCTGCGATACCAATCGACAGCTTAGATTTACCGATAACATATGACAGAGGCCATGGTGCAAATGACTGTTTCATGGATGAACTAACATCGAATAGTATACAGGTAAGCAATGAATTTTTATAATTTTTTTGAAATTCTTTTATTTTTTCTTTGTTAAATATGTAGCCATTGCATTCCATTTCTTGACATGTTGGACACATAAACATAAACTGTTCTGGTTGACGTCTATGATAAAGATCAATTTCACGTTGACGTCGAATATTTTCCGGTACAATCTGATTTAAAACATTTTGAGTGATATCGCAACCACACGGACAGGCTGCATAAAATACACCGCGATCTTCTATATAGAGAAAAATTTAACAATAAAGAGAAATATTGTTTGTCAACAATACATACGTGGTCGATTATATAGTAATCGAATCACTTCCAAATCAGTTTTTAACTAAAAATCGAAAGAAAAATAATAAATGAAAGATCAGTGAATGAACAAGATACCTCATACAATTTAAGCAATGGAATAATGCGATTTGATCGCCATAACATTTTCCGAATTGTTTGATTTAACGGTTTACTATTCGTCCATAATAATGTGATTTGTATAAGTCCTTGTCTATTACTGTTTCGTGGAAAAAATATTTGATTGCGATTTTTGGCTGTTTGATCATTAGCTCCATTAACATTTGGAAACACTGATTGAATAGCGATATTCAGAACTGATGCAATACCCATAAAATCCCAGACAGTTATTTGTTTATGATCAAGCCGAAGCTGTCTATTAATATGATATTTTAACTCGGGATCTTCATTACACAGTCCTTGATAAAATTCACAATTTAAAACCAATTCGCAAATATTTTTCACTTTTAATTCCATGATAATATCATTTTCAAAATTTGAGAGATATGCAAGTGAATTATAAAATGAATTTTCATCATCATCACTAATTGGAACAAGAATCGGAATAAAATTTTGATAAAAATTTGAATCACAGTATGTTTCCAAATATGATTGCGAAGTGCGATCGATGCCATATTTGAGATGATCAAAATTAATGGTAGGACTATAGTTTAGTCTATGTATAGATATGAGCGGTTGCACTCGTTTACATTCATTATGTAATCGATCAAACCCGTTTGATGCTGACTTGTGTAGATTGCAAAAAATACTTTCAAATAAGGAATATCTGTCGAGTGATTCACATTTATCACATAACAAGTTTGAGTTATCAGCCACAATAAATTGAGGACATAACACACAAGTTGTTGCTGTTTCAATAGAAGTCATATTCATCAAATGAAAGTTATATGGAACATGAGAAATGGTGTACAACTAAAGTAGGAGTCAGTAGTATAATTTTGTTAATGTTTGATAAAATCAAGATGACACAGACCATTGAGTGTTTTTATGTAAGTTCGCGAATGTTTTATCAACGTACTGGCCCTTAAAAACATTCATGGTTATAGATAAGAAAGAAGAAAAAGACAAATGTCAATACATGTCATTAAATATATGTTTCCATTTTGACGAGTAAATGTTGGAGAAGTTTTTCATCGAATTTTCCTAGTGCAGGCTTATATCAGCAAGATGATGATGGTCAAAAAATACATTAGTCAAATATATGTAAATAAATCGAAATATCATTTAGACTATGATGATAGCGACGTGTACCGGGTATCTCGCCTATTTATGTCTAGATTATAATCCTTTGACAGGAAAGTGGATTTAAATTAACTTCTATGTAGAAAAGGAGACAACATTTGTTTTATATTCAATTATGTTGTTACCCTTTGCAAGCGTACAGTGGGATCAACAATAAAACTACATCCCTGTCATTAAAAGCTACTCTAATACAAGTACTTTATGATCCACAGTGGGTATTTTTCTGCAGAGCAGGAGGATATCTATTTTCTTGAGTTACAAAGTGATTATGTCCGCATAATATTGTCTTACTATGTGTCAAATATCACTAGAAGAAAAAAAGGTCGGATTCTAAAGAAACTTTTATTTGATAAGAAATGTCTCACGAGCAGGCTCCTGAACTTTCGTTAAAAATTGTGTTATTTGTAAACTATTTGTAAAAAAAACAATTTATACACTATTCGGTACAATTTTCCACGCTGATTCTGAATATGGATATATTGTCCGAATAAAAGTACTTCTGAATCGAGAAAAGTGAATTTTATCTCAAATACCAAAGTTTTTTAGAAAACTGGTATCTAAGTTAATAAGTAAAACCGCATACATGGTAGGTGCAGGACATGTAGACGAACATTCCGGTGTAATTTAAGGTCGAATAACAGTCGATGCAAATCGATACACTCGATTGCGTACGAAATCGAGGTCCGAAGCAGAATTTCTTTAAACTGTTGTCTTTGAGCCAAAGTGAAACATTTTTTTATCAGCAGATATTTGACTGTTTCTTGCTCAAGAATCTGTTGAAACGACGAATTTGACTCGATGCATTCGAACAAAAAAGTGAGTTTTCTAAGAAGACGCTGAAGTATACGTCATTTTCAATATTAAATTTTTCATTTAAAGTGAATATGTTAAACAAAACCTGTTAAACTATTAAATAGCCCATTTATCAAAGTATATATGACAATATTTAAATGAAAGAAAAATGGATTTTCGATTTTTGACTAAATGTCCGCTAGTATGGCCACCATGTGACCGAAGGTCACTTTTGAAATTCGATAATCTTATCAAAGAAAAAATTCATAACTCAGCCTAGAAACATGTTTTGGGCTCGAAAACGGCCTAAAATATTTTTGTATGACTGTAAAATATTGTCCCCGTGTTTAAAGGTTAACTATTGCATGTCTCAGGAAATCTATTGAGAATGAACAGACGCTAATGTAACATACGTAGAAACACGACCTTAAGGAGCTACGCACCGTTCTTTCAACGGAGGTCACATAATTCATCATTTCTTGAGAAACTGCATGACATGCTAATGTATTCTGGAGTGGACAGGAAAGTAGTAGAGTTCGCTTGCAGAAGCGAACTTCGTAACATAATTTTTAATTGGATTGAATATTAGGAAAACCCACTGAGAATAGTATGCAGTCCGCTGTTATTTTAATAGCTTTTTTTTCTTGTCCTCAGAATCAGTTATTGATCATGCGCAGAACAAACCGAGTTGAAGTATTACGTTCTATTTTCCGACAAGGCTATTATTCAGAGAAGACGCTTGAAAGCAGCATTTTTGAGAAAGAAAAATTAACCTCTACGGTTAGGCAAACGAACATTTCGTTGTGACATATAAATTCTTGTTACTTGTCCATTTTTGCCGTTCTTTCTTATTCCAGCCCTTTTAATGTATAAAATTTTTAAGAAAAATAACTTAATTCTTGAATTTATTTATGCAGAAAAATGGATCGGGGTCGATAAGAGGCAAAATCGATCCCCTCTCATATCAATCTCATATTCACAGGTCTGATGTAGGTTTTATCTATGATTAAAACTAGCACCTTAAAAGAACCAGTTTGACCCACCTAGAAAACATTTCGCATCCAAACGTTTCTCTCGTTAGATGAACTTTACTACTTAGAGTATTTTCCTCATTTCTTCACTTTTGCTCAAAGCAAACCTCAACTACTGTGTACCATTAGATAAAGAACTTGACGGCCTACAAAATAATATATGAAATATCCAGAAAAGAGGTAACTAGGTAGTCTAAGATTGGAAGTACTCGGTACTTGGTAGCATCTTAGGAAACCGGTAGGTCAACATTGTTCCATTCAACATTCCAGAAGTAGGTGACGTTAAACCTGTTATTCTATTGGCAAAAAGCTGGGAGAAAGCCAAATGATGAAAAACATGTTCACATAGTTCGTGAGTATCACTGAAGTCGATGGTTATGTACGCAGCTTGCAGGAAAAAATTTCTGTAACTTGAGAGACCAACGAGTAGCATTGACGATGACATTCTATAAATCAAACGCTCCTACGTTTTCGTTAATGCATTACCTTTCTTTGCGTAGAATACCACTTAACCCTTTGGCGACGGGAGACGTATATATACGTCCGGTCTTCCCACTAGAGAGAAAATTATCAATAAAATTTTGTTTGTTTGAAAACCGAATGTTAAGTATACTGTTAGACCGAGTTTTGTCTGCTGATCTCAAATATGTTATTACTTTTGCTTGAAAATATAACGGAAGTGAAAAGAACGTAAAATAAGTGAAATGGCGAAGGTCAGAGGTGAGTATGTAATCTTTCTGATAAAAGTTTCCCATACGCTTTTCGGAATTATAGGTTTCTATGATTATTTTTTCATGATTATGATGTACATTGCATGTAAATTCTATAGTATAAAGAGTGACCCTTAGTTTGCCACCCTCGCTCTTCTACGTATGTTTCAATCGTGGGTGCTCGTTCTCAATGAATTTCCAGAAGCACACAATAGTTAATCTTCATACTTTGGCTAGATAATCTACGAACACTGTAGAGCCTTTGATGTGAATTTGAGGTCAAAATGATGCTACTAGACTGAGTTGTGCATTTTTTTCTCCAAAGGAGCTCGAATTTTCAACAAAAAACCGCGAACCTCGCCCGTAAAATAGCTGTATTTAACTGACTACTAACTGCCAACTCACGAAATTCATATCGTAGATAGAGTAGAGTCGTGGCTACATTTTAGTAAAAAGAAAAAGTTTTCATCTTTCTTAGATGAGGAGCTATTGATATTTTACGGAAAAAAAATAAATCATTTATATCTCACGAACCATCCACTAAAGGGGTCCCACACTTGGTGGATGATCAGCATTCGGTAAGAGCTATGATCACACAAAATTAGAAGTCACTAGCTCTTATGATTCTTGAGTTACAGGAGTGTCGCTACATTTGCCTGTATATGGGCTTCCCGTCGCCAAAGGGTTAATCAGGCAGACATTCTTATACGATATCTAATCGCACCTGCTAGTTTTGATTTGAATGAGGGGCGAAGAAGAATCTGTGTTTCATGTGGTCGACCGGCTCTTGTGCGACACTCTAAAAAAACGGGTTCTTCCCAAGTATCCCCGGAAAGAACCTTCTTAGGTTTCGTAGATCGAGCTAAATCTTTTTTGAGTTTTGTAAAAACTTCTTTTTTTGAGGATGTGTTTAGTGAATGTAATATTAAAATTCGTTTTTTGAGTCGATGAGAAAGGACACAGATTTGCGAAGTGAAAAGTGAGGATCGCAATGGAAATCTTATGCTAGCGATTGAACTAGACGGTTTATCCGGCTAACGGTCAACCAGCATAATTAAAGTTGTAACAATAATCGTGTGATGAAGCAAGTCAAAGGTGCGACGCTGCATTGTTGTATCTTGACATCTCTCTTTCAGTCACTTTCATTTCAACAAGGCGACAAGAAAAGAGCACTACATTCTAACATTCTAACATGATAAACGAGTCCTTAAAACTTACTCTCCATTGTCCTAGAATAGTTTGCTGTTCTTTCTCTAATATATTATCAGCTATCCTTTCTCTTCTCTTTTTAGCAATTAACTGTATTTCTCTTTTGATCAAATTGTCACAACATGTAATGAGCACAGCTTGATTTGTTGTTTAATAAGCTTAGTTTAAATTAAGAGCACTACGGTAAGCGACAACTACTTTGTCGCGCATTTCGAACCGTTGTTTCTTCTTTGTTTACTCGAGTTTTTGGTTCGAAAGCTATTTCCACAATACAGTGATACGAGAAAGAGTTTTGCGATTGAAATCGAATCTCATCGTGGTTGTATTGAGTTAATCTCCAAAAATTGATCGGATGTGAGTCATTGCAAGAATTCGTTGACTATCTTTTTCGTTGAAACATCCATTAGATTTTTGAATGCTGGTTCTCACACTATAAATCGAGTATGGGAATTCTAAAAAAGAGAAATTTCTCTTCCACCGAATGAAAAGTTTCTCTCCCTGTTGATCGCAGTCTTTTAAGAAGTTCCGGTGTTGTTCAATCAAATTCTGATTTGCACTGCTCAATCTTTTTCAAGTTCATTGAGAGAAGATCCTTTATTTCCATTGAGTATTTTCCAAAAAAGCCGTGTCGTGTGGAGAGGATCGTTTTCGATTTGAGAAACTCGTTCTGATCTCTCGACATCTGCTTAAAAGATTTACGCATTGAAACAAAATGTAAATATCGAATGAAAGTGAAAGTGACATTTGATTCAATGTCTTTTGGAAAGCATTGAATGGAATCGATTTTGATAAAGTGACCTTCGACTAGACAAAAATTCACTTTGTTCTCGACTGATCATCATTTGACAAGTGAACTTTCCTTGTTTGTCGATCACTCACTGACTTCAACTAACGTCGTTAGGTACTCTTACTTTCGATTCCTGCTTAAGAGAATATTTTGATTCTTGAAGAACATCAAGATCTTCGTTAAATAATTCAACTAAAGAGAAGAATCAACGGTCTTCGGTCAGAAGCTCAGAGAATTTTGAAAGAATCGATTGTTTGCTCCTTTGATTTGGCGACAACACATCGTTACCAAAGTGGACATGCAGAGTGTCAACGAAAAGAAAAGAACTCTGTGCGCAACAGACTCCATGTGTTTTGAACAGATCTAACAATGTCAAAGATGCACGTGCATAGTTGATTTCATTGCTATAAACAATCAATATGTTAAAATAGAGATTCAACCATCGGAAAAATTTTGTTTATTGTCTATCACGAGAAAATCAAAAGATTTTGATGAGAAGGACGTGCTATTTTTCGACTAGAAACATTATTCAAAAGAAGATTGTCTTCGATATGTCGATTGAACACGATTTTAGTTTTAATCAAAATGTTTAAATAACGAAAAAGAAACTCGATCATTCTGGGCGCTCCGCTTTTCCATTTTGCAGTCCCTGTTTGTATACATATTTGCGTCCCTTTTGTTACCGGGACTGACTTCTCAGTTCATGAGATCAAAATGATATGCGAGGAAAAACACGCACCCTCTCGCTGGCCAAGCGTTATCTATTAATGAGAGACAACAGAAGGAAAGAAGACACATGAGAGAGCGAAAAATGACACGTCAAACAAAGAAAGAGAACGAAGCGCTACGTGCATCCAAGAAGAGATAACGAAGCGGCACGTTGAACAAATGAAAGAGATACGTAGATGCGCTGGAGATAGCGTGATGTCAAGCTTAGCTAAAAGAGATTAAAATAAGTGATGGACATCCTAACATCCTTACCGAGCTGCGATGAAAGAGCATATGAAGCTCACAAAGCATTTTTTCCGTTTCTTACTCTCCACGCTATCACAGGATGGCGTGCAAGTGAGAAAAAGAGCGAGAAGAACACATCTTATCGTGATCCTATGTGAGCAGAGGATGAAAAAGCAACCTGGCATATTCAAAGATAACCACACTTGTGCTATTGCATTTACATCACACGACGACTCTTGTCTGGATTGGAATCATCATAATCGTATGCATCCTCCTTAAACTAGTCAGCTCTACAGATGTTCCCAAGATTCCCGGTCTTCCAGAAGCATCAGGTTGGCCTATATTTGGAAGTCTGTTTGAATTAGGACAGAATCATTGTGCTGCGCTTTCACAAATGGCTAAGAAACTCGGTCCTGTCTTTCAAATCCTGTTTTTCAAATAGAGCTTAACGCGCTGATCATCTTGGTGTAAAATTGTCCTATGTTTGACCCAGTTTGCGGAAGAAATAAGTCAAATACTCAAATTTCAAATATGGGTCTTACAGTCAAAAACCACTTAAGAACTGAAATCAGCTTTTTCGAAAAACAGACTTTTGTGCCATTCGAGTCAACCCAAATAAAAACTGTGATACCATATTCGAATTTCTTGTCAAAACTGCATCAGGTCTGATACTCATGTTCGAATTTTATTATTGCCTACCCAGCCGTTTTGGACCCACAACATCAGATACTTCAGTTGGAAAGTGTGCGAAAAATTCCGTAAAAAAATCCCTATGACCCAGAACGGTGATACTTCACGTTCCGTAGAGCTTCACTTGCTCTATAAGATGCACTAGTTGTTTTTCTCCCCACACAGAGTTTTGGAGAGAACTTCTCACCCCTTCAGTTCCATGCGACTGTGTAGCTGCTATGGTATTACTGTGAACATCTGGTTATAATGTAAGGTGTTTTGCACTCTCTGGATACCCCTAGTTGTTCTTGCTGATAGTGCTGAAATCTCTGGTGATAACTAATCGTTCTTTGTATACATATATATATGTATTATGCAAATTTCTGATATACTGTCTTGAAGTTACAAATGGTCAGAAATTCATTTACCCTATATCATCACTTTTAAACGAAAATTTCTCTTAAATTCAAGAGCGAGCAACACCAATGTTTTATTTGTGAAATCGTGCCACTTGAACGACTATTCAAAGGTTCTAACGTTATTGAAAATTGAAGCTGTAAATTTTCGTACAAGGCTCTTCATTTCGTAGATGTCTGTCAGTGATATTGGTTGTTGCTTGCTATCGAAATCATAAATACTAACATTCTGTCGTACGGACAAGAAACACAGATGGAGTTAGGCACCACTATGATTGCCCTGCGCTGTTTCCGATTATGAGATAGAAGATCCACTTTGATCTGATTCTTCGATGTGATTTTTTGGTTAGAGTTTGATATGTCACTTGACCAGTTTATTTTCATGTTTTCACATCATTCATCTCTTGTTTCGTTTCATTTTGATTGTTCGTTTTAGTTCTTCGTCATATGAGATGTCATATATGAGAAAAAGGAAAATAAGAAATAGACGGAAAGAAAAGAGAGAGAAAAATATATAGTTAGAAATAAATTATTCGTCAAAGGCCATAACTGTAGATTTAACATCTAACTACAGACGTGTATTTTTGATTTCAATGTAAAAATTTTTTAAAATTAGTTGCTACTGATGAAGACGTTGGTAAACGTTGAAACGTTTAGCTATTTAATTTTATAATAATTGTACGAATAAAAGTATAGATGGGCATATATTGCTTTTGTTTGACTAAATCTTATCGAAGGATAAGATAATGTACATAATAAGATAATGATGTTACTGTAGTACAGTTGATTTCTTTTCTGTAAACAAAAAAAATGAATAACTATATTAATCTGAGATGGTCGATTGAGTAGCATTATACGGCAACAAATCGTGACTTATCTCTAATGGCTCATAAAACTTTAATAAAACTAAGTGATAATATATCACCACTAATAAAAATGTTTAAAAATATAAAGCTTTATTTTAACGGTTAAGAGAGCGTTTCAAAATTCTTGCCGTTCTCTCTGCCGCTTTGGCGTGCTGCCGCGACATAATAGATTTATTTTAATGACATTTCGATATATTATCCTGTCCGTTTGATATATGTATGCGTATACATGTAATTTATTTTGGTAGATAAATTTATTGAAATTCTCTTTACGCTTTACGATTAAATGCATAAATAGGAAAAAGTATAATAACGTTCTTCTCATTTGCATATATAGAGTAGGGTATTGTATAAGCATTTCTCAACTATTCCCAGATATTAAAAAAGAGAATATCATGATTAGCATGGGAGTCAAGTGAGACCTTGCTTTTTCATAGCTCGGGTGCTGTATCAGATTTTCTACGAGTCCTAGGGCTGGCACCCAATGATTATTGGTAGCCTTGGAGACGGTTGAACTATGGGTAATCGACCATACTGAGTCTAGTGGCAGTATTTGCTTTTAGAAAACTTTTAAAAACTTGCCGAAAAGCGAGTTATACGAAAATTAGAGTTTTCAAGCTGTCACTAATTCTCTTCTAAGTAAAATAATTAACGTTAATTAGATTTTTTTTCTATCAATAGGAAGAGGATTTTATAGTGTACATGAACAGGCTCAATTATCGATAATCTAATTGCTAATTTAGCCTGAAGTTTAATCATTCTACTCATTTTCATGCAAAAAAAATGCGTTTAAAATACTCTATCTCTATTATATGCCCACTACTCGTTGAAAATACTCTTTTCTATCTCAGTTTTCACATATGTGATAGATTATAGGATTTTGAACAACTTTGTCATTTACTATAGCATCGAAATCTGCTTCTGAGAAACGGTGAAGATCTTTTTCTGTCTATCCGTGTAATGTACACGGGGTTAGTATAATTACCCCATGAAAACTAGCAATGTTATCACAATTACCCCAGAAGGGGGAATCACTCTAAACCTATTCACTGAAAATTGATTAGAACTAATTAACGTTAACGGATTTTACGAAAATGTTTACATCAGTAGATAACTAAGAGTCAGCTGTATTCACCTGCATAACACTGATTTTCTCCGGTGAAAGATGACTTAGTCTAAATATGCTCAAAATATCTGAAAAGTTTTAGGTGGTCATCAGAATTATCCCACGTGACTCTACTGTCTCTCTTTTTTATACGCGCATGTCTCTGAGAAACATTCTTTATTCTTGTAGTTAAAGAATCTCGACATCCGATCGCAAAAATTTCGCTAGCAACCCTATCAGAAAAAAATGCCAAATTAATTTTGGAAATAAAAATTAAACCCAAAAAGCGTTTTTAATCCAGTTTGCTTCGAAAATTTTTTGTTAGAGTCAAAGAGTAAAAGATGAACAATTTTGAACTGCTTTTCCTCCTCTCTATCTTCCATAAAAGTATGTTTCTACTCTTTGAAATTATCTTTTTATTTCAGTATTTAACAAATGACAACTCTGGCTGATTCGGTGCACTTCAGCTACACTGATATTTGTACTATAGAGACGTTTATTTGAACCAAGAAAAGATAAAAGGCTCTTTTTTAATTTTTTTTTCTCAAAAAACTGGACAGTTCATTTATGATGCATGTGCTGATCAAGTCATTACTGGTCATTTGCCCTACAATTGATTAATCCTAATTTAGATCACGAAAACTTCTTTTAAAAATTTATTTGATTGCACTCTGTTCCCTAGATAATACTGAACTTTGTTCTTAAATTCTTAAAAGCCGAAGTATATTTAGGTATTCGAAAGTTTATCGATAGTAAACAGCAACACTTACAGTATAGAGGAAATATGGGAAAGCTTCGATATCGATTACTTTCAAAGTCAAAAAGCAGAGTTTTCAATTTCAGTTCCTTATATTTTGCGATATAAAAAAGGAGAAAATGGCCAGTTTGTACTTCTCAAAAAGTTCTATCAACTGGTTATATTCAAGACTCTTCAGAGGCTCAATCGGTCCCAGAAGGAATTTTTTTTCTTTTAGCGATTTTGTCCAAAATCATCATGCAGCTCATGGTATCAGCTCGTGGCAGAAAAAAAAGGTTTGTAGAGAATATATAATAGAAGAAAAGAAAGGTGACATTCCAGAGCACCAGTTTGATGCACCGCGTTCAAAATAGATATTTTTTGGTTGCGGTTTTGGTTTGAAAGTAATCAATATTGAAGGTTTCCCATATTTCCTCTATACTTTTTTACTGATTAAGGAATCTTTTAAAAAAGAGATTGAGGCTTGACAATCAACCTTGACAAAGATATTTAGAAAATAACAGTAGGAACATTCTTTATGGAACACCCGTTATCATCTGTTTTGCACCAGAGCAGTCGCCGATATTTCTGGAATAAACAACGATGGAAATTTGCGATTTTCGGTGTTAGATAGTGCACACTTAGAACATGAATTTTATGAAAAAACAGAGTTCAAGTTTTCAAATTATCAGGATATAGCAGCCAAAATATATGGGGTTAACGAAACAGAATTAAACTCTCACACGTCACCAGTTAGAAACTGCTGTTTAAGCTTCTACGAAAAGTGTTATAAATTGTTTGTAAAAGATCTCAGAGTCGCGGAACGTCTCGTTTTGTAGAGAAATGTGTGGACTATAATTACATCTAAGCAGAAAAATTTCGAAGTTATCTATGGCGCAAATATGAGCATTCTAAAATGTGCTAAATTCAGAAAAAAATCCTGTTCGAACAGTTTTTTTTGCTAACTTTAGTGCACTTTAGTATGTTCGCACTTTTGTTAGAAATAATTTCAAGTATTTTTTCACAGCTGAATTTTCTAGAGTACACATTTCCCTACAAAATGATACGTTCCGCGACTCTGAGTAGCTTTTTATAGGCGATTTACACCAATTTTTTGTGGACGCCCAAACAACAGTTTTTAATTGATGCATATCTCTGCGTTAGAGGTGATGAATATCACGGTAATTCGTTGTGCAAAGTTTGCCCGTTTCCGTATTCATAGAGAAGAACTTGTTCGTGCTGATCAAATCGTTAACGTCAGCATTATTACAATATGTACTAATAGGAAACCTAACGAAGCTTCGCAGCGGTGTTTGTATATTAAATACTTCGCCGCTTAAACCGACAGTGGGTCCGAAACTTATTTGCTACCTTTATTTTTCATTTTTCTCGGCGACCATAAAGCTAGAACAGATTTGAAGAAAGATTTGAACAGCTGAAAGAATTTACGATCTGATGTGCTGTATACAGAGGTACTGTCAAAATTCATAAAAGCAGGGTCTCTGGCAAACCAAGGTACCAGAAAACCAAGTCCTCGAGTTCAATCTAGAAATGCCTTGCAAATAGTTTCATTGTGTAGTGAAAGCATTTCTGAAGAAAATACGACGTCTCCGTACTCTCTATAACATTTCTTTGTGAAACAGCATTCAATTTACGGAAGACCGCATACAGCAAACATTTCTGATCAAAGTGAGATATCTCCCAGCCCTGAGTGATGTGATGATCAAGAGTTATGGGAGTTTTACCGGAAACCCTAAAACATGCATCAACTGGCTCCACCATATCTCGAAAGCGACTTTCACCTTAAAACCAATTCGTAGTTTCAAGATTTCTCGGTAAAAAAACATCGCCGAGAGCTCAGGAAAGTCTTAAATTGAAGTTGACACATGTGGTTAGCGGCTAATAGAGCCCGATTTTTGATATTCGGCCTAGGTGTATGGCTAGAAAATATCTTTATGCAAGTTAATGCGACTTTTTCGAATTTTAGAGTTTCGGCGCTCACCATTAATTTGAAGAGAAAAATATCAAAAACCAGACTCTATTAGTCTCTAACCACATGTATTTTCTTCAAATTAAGATCAGCCCTGGCTCTCCATAGCGTTTCGTTACTGAGAAACCTTTGAGCTACGAAGAGCCCCATTTTAGTCACTGTTGTGTCGATATCCCACAAACAATGCGCGAAAATTTTGTCACCACACTGTCACAAGGTCAACATCTCCTAAAAGTTTGGTCAAGCTCGGACTTATAGTTTCAGAGATAGGTTTCTGATGGAGAGGGGGGAGGTTCTTACGAGAAGATCGAGACTTGGCAATCAACCTTGACACAGATATTTAGAAAACACTAATAGGGTCATTCTTTATGGCACCCGTTAATTAAACATTAAGCAATATACAGAAAGAGAATACAAAATATATTATGAAAAGTTAATGTGAATAAAAAATAGTTTTATTCATTTCTATAGAATAAGATGGTACCTAATAGAACATACAATAAACTCCTATGTCACAATAGAGCGATAAAAAAATAAATCGGTAATTTCTAAAATACCTTCTACCATCTGATACATCTCTAGATAACTTGCTTCATATAAAATAGAGGTTATCTTCAAGAGTCTTAAAATATGATATATAGAAAAAAAGTACTTACTTTTATTTGTTTTTGTATCATCCCATGTCTCGCTGTATATTTAATCGTATTTTCAAACGATACTTTTTATTCAATTTCTTCCACGATTGAATCATGTAAAATTCCTTCAATACCTTCACTACCAAAACATTTTAATATATTAGCAATCTATTCTTCCTTTTCCAATTCATGTTTATTTGATTATGATAATAAAGTGAAACGATTTGGCAAACATTCGGTATTTAACCACACCAGTCAACAATTGACAATCATTTGTTCACTTAATACAAGTTTGTCGGTTGTATTATCCCCCGATTATTCAATAAAACGTCGAAGCTACCCACCGTGGCTACGAAGACGTTCACCAAACAAAGTACTTGTGAAAGGACGACAACAACTGTTGAACGATAAATTAAATAGCGTTCGTAATGCAAGTAAAATTCACTTAACCATCAGTGACGATGAAGTCTTTACGGGTAAGCTTCTACAAATATATTTTTGCTAGTTAGTTGTAACTTTCAAAATTTCCATTTAGACAGACGGTAATCTTTCTCGTTTCGCATTTAGAAAAAACATTGAAATAAAAATAGTTTAATTCTATTTCGTAAATAATAAAGTGGATGTTCGAGTTAATATTTAGCACATTGTATTTAGTACTCTTCAACCTCTCAGAGAACATTGAGAAAAGCAGACTAGTATGTTTCGAAAAAGTTATTTTGCCTTCTTAACAAAATGATTTTGAATAGGATTGTATACACAAAGGTACACTTATAGATGAAAAGGTTTCTAAATTTAGATTTAAAGTTGGGTAGCAGTGAAAATATTATTCTCAATAAAAAGTTATTCTGCTGAGGGTATTTACTGTCAACCAACAAATAATGGTTTGAACCCAAATGTTTTGAATCAGATTCATTTTAAAAAGTATCTTTCATCAAAGTGGTCCATATCGATCATTCTTTTAGTAACGTGTAATAATGAAGAACAATTATTTATTCAAACACTATTGAAACAAGATGTTGAAAAACGAGTAAAACAAGGAAAACAGCTGCCATCTGTTCTAGTTGTAGAATTTGATGCTGTTAGCCGTTTAATGTTTCATCGAAAAATGCCAAAAACAATGGCTTTTATTCAAAATAAATTAAAGAATTCGACAAAGTATACAACAATTGAATTTGAAAAATATCATTCATTAGGTAATTATTGATTAACATATTTAATGAAAACATTATCATTACAACCACCATTATCGTAGGTAAAAATTCTGAAGATAACCTTCGTCCACTATTGTGTGCTAGTGGATCACTTGGATATGGCCGATTAAACGTTGAGAATAAAACGGCTAATTTACGATGTACATTCGACAATTATATTTTCAATGTATTTAAATCAAACGGTTATTCGACATCACTAATAACAAACATGTGTTGGGATTACATTGCAGATTATTTTGGTAGAACAGATGCTTATAATGTTGATTATGAATATGTGACATGGTCATGTCATCCAGAATATGATGTTTATGGAAATTGGGGTGATTACACTGGTCCATACGGTGTAAAACGTCGATGTATAAATGGAAAATATGTTCATAAATATCAAACTGATATTATTAAAGATTTTGTATATAAACATGCTGTTAAACAATTACCGTATTTTTCGTTTATATCATTTATAGAAGGACATGAAATTGGTTTGAATGTTTTAGGTAAGCAATGGTAGTAAACATCTCTAATTCTTACGTGTGTAGATATAGAAAACAAACGATTAAAAGTGATGTTCAGAGAAAAATACCGACATCATCATCATATCATCATGGGTACGTATATAATAGAACTTTAACTGTCTGTTTTGTTTAAGAGTGAGTTTTTCTAAACATTAGCGATGGGCAGTTGAGAGTATGCACTGTGATCAACAACAATAACTGATTTTCACGAGTGACTACGACTGATGACATAAATTTATTTCATGTACATACGTGAAAGAAAGTGTTTCACTCGTGTTCACGAATTAAAAGAATCACGGAAAAGTAATGATTTGTGCCATTAATGCTTTAAAAATGTTGTCACACTCGTGAATGTAAAAGGATAATACTTCACACGTGCTTCCGTATGAAAAATTGTTTTTCACGCTCGTTCACGAGTAAACGAATGTTTCACGTGTGAACAAGTAGAATCTTTTTCTATTCACCCCTGTTTGAATAGATAAAATTATTTTTCACGCGTGTTCGCACGTAGAATTCTCAAAAATAAGACTGACTCTTTTGCAGTGTAAACACGTAGGAAAAGTTTTCAATTCATGCTTACATCGTTGAGGATATCTAAATTTCCACATGGATAGGGTGAGAGTGAGTCATGAGATAACAGATTACTATATGATACATCCAAGCAGAAGTGAGTAAGTAAAAAGATCTAGTTGGTATAAACTGTTTATTAAAGAAAGTATTTCACCAAATCGGAGAAACCATCATATAGATACAGATAAGGTTTTCATACAGTTAAAAAAGAAAATCCATCAAAGTGAGCAATAAGAAAACGAAACAAACAAAAACTAAAAAACGTTGGTGGCAGATGTTTTGGAAAGAAAGAAAGAAAAAACTACCCCTATGATTTTATGTTGAAACGTTTAGATTCGATGATATAGTTTAAGACGCATCGATATTCAAATTCGAAATGTTCTCTACATAGTATCTCGTTGATCAAACGTAACAGGAACAGGTAAATTCACTGTACATTGTAATTTGGAATTCTTTATAGAAAATCGATCTGGAAAATTGCCAAGGATTTTGTAGCTTTTATAAAATCCTCAGCAATTTTCTGACTGTTTAGAAAATATTAATTTTCTATGAATTGACTTTTCTCATTTGCCAGAAAACCGATAAGGAATTTCTAAAAAGTTGGAAAATCGGCTCGATTTTCCAGATTCTACAAATCAAAATCAATTTTCTATAAATAATTTTTTTTCAACATTCTTGAAATTCGATAGCGATTTTCTAAATAGTTGGAAAATCGAAAAATTAATTTTCTAAGAAGACGAATCGGTGATTTTTTTCTTGCTTCTTTCACATCTATTAAAACCTAAATTGGAACAAGTTGTCCTGTAACAGATCTCTGCTCCTTTTAGTATTTAACGTCGAAAATGTTAGTAGATTCGGAAAGTTCTCTCAGTTTTTTGCAAATCAGCATATTCTTCGAGAAGTATTGCGGTTGTATAACACTTGGAAATCACAAAGAGGTACTGAAAAGGTTCTTGGGTTGCCTGGTTAAGACAAAGTCGGGTTCCACCGCAGCTTCTGAAGATCGCAAAGCGATTCGCTCTTGCTAATATTTCTCATTTTTATGTATGAATTTAGCATCTTCCAAAAATGTACTTGGTTCTATTAACTCAAAGACATGATCCTAACAATTCACATTTATTTTCTTTATTTTTTGAATAAAATAACAGTCGCTCAATACGTGAGCAATGTCGAATTTGATTTTTATTATTAAACGATCCATATTGTCATCCGACAAGCTGAAATAATACACCCCATTCAACGTCGATAGCTTTTAATAACAGTGAAAAGGTTTATACTTCAGCCATTTTCACTTTGCAAGCTTCTGATTATCAGCATCAAATTGTTCTTCCTCATCAACTAGAAAATCACTGAGGATTTTCACGAAAGTAGAAAATAATCCGATTTTTTGATTTTCGAAAAGTTCATATATAAAATCCCTAAGGATTTTCTAGACGAAAATTCGCCGAGCATTTTCTATAAATAATTTCCGATTTTACAGTGTAGTAATAGCTTTAAGTAGCGAAGATCTAGTTACAAATGTAGCCGTAGCACCTGCACTTGCATCTATATGATCTAGATTAAAAGATACATTTATCTAGTGCATACTAGTTGAAATTGTGTTGTATCTGAAACGGTTGTTGCATCAGCCGATTAATCGGACACGTCATTCTCTAATTAATCGGCAACAACTAATTGCAATCAGTTGCAACTAGATAAAATTTACATATATTTTGATGTAGCTAGATTCAAGTTAGATAAATGTACTTTTAATTTAGATGTAAATGTCTGGCCGCTTCATTACTTTTTTTGTACATGCACCGAAATGTGTTAATTCAAGTGTGCCAACATTTTGATGGGCAAAAAAACTGTTCTTACACTATTTTGTACACTGTCTGTTATAGAAGCAACGGGTCCTTCTTTTTGAAGCACTCAAGCCTATTGGTAGCATAAGTTTAAATTTAGATTTATACCTTCTGCTCTTGAGAATAAATTGAATCTTGAGTCGTTAAAAACTATAGCACGAGCAGTTTCGACATACATTCAAGATTCCCCAAGAAGATCGTATCCCAGAGGATATAATCTTCATCATTATTATGTATGTTTATTTTAGGTTTAGTCGATGATGATTTTGTTGAATTATTAGCACATTCGGTTTTATATAGTTTCCTGGCTTCCAGTCCAATGTATTGTCGAATGTTCGGAAAATCTTATACCTAAAAAATCTGCGAAAACAATTACGTTACAAAAGAGTATTTATTTACGAACTAGTATTTGATTTGCATTCGACGATTCATACTTGAAACAAGCAGTGTAAACGAATTGCTTCAAATATTATATCGCAGAAGCAATTGTTTACATCTACCAGAAATCAAGTATAATACATG